GTTCAAAAGAAAAATTACATTTTTACTATTTTTTATTCCTGATTTTTTTAATTTTTAACTAATTAAAAGATTAAAAGATGCTTATTATCTAGCTTAAGTTAATATTACTCTATATTGAATTTTTCAAAAATATTATAAGTCTCCATCGTTTCTTTTTTTGTCCCAATGAATTTTATCATTTCATTTTTTTTAAGCAAAATTTTAAGTAGTTTGATTTTTCTAGTTGAATTTTTGAATATAAGAGGAGAATGAAGTTGAGTTGATTAGAGTTATTAAAATTGTAAGATTGAAAGAGAAGTGTAAAATAAAAAGGCCAAAGAGAGGATAAAAGAGAAATTATATTACTTTACTAAACTGATTATGAAATTAAATATTTTATCTCTCATCTCCTCTTCAAAAAATTTCACTTTTGGAGGGGAGACCAAGAAGGGGAAAGGAGGGGCTGAATGTGAGTCCCTCCCCCTTTAAAATTTTTTCCAGCCAAACAAAGAGAGGGGAGTAGCTCCCTTCTCTCTATTAAAAAATGTTTCGGTCAAATGAGGGGAGGGGAGCCACTTCTCTCTCCTCCGGTCTGAAAACTTCATACCAAACACAGTGTAAAGGTCTATCTTTTATTTTAAAAGAAAAAAAATATTTTTTCCATACTTGTTTTAATGGTGTTTAAGAGTTGTTTTGAGGTTAAATGATGATGTGCAAAATTCATACTGCTAGCATAATTTGATTGGCTAACTTGACATACTTGACCTAAGTAACTTGATATAAGTTTTATCTTTCTAAAATATTTTTATTGATTGTAAGCAGATCTCAAGATAGTTTCAATGCACATAATTAAGAAAGATAATTTAAAGAAGTCAATACACATTTATTACAATTAACAAATTAAAATAATTTACTTAATCTCCTGAAATTAGTTATCTAACTCTTATATTAAGAATTGGAAATAGTATTATACAATGACTAGTCTCGTGATAAAGCTCACAACTCCATAGCTTGTACAAATTCTTTGCTTACATTTCTAGTTTCACAAGTTAACCAAGATTATTGTTGTTATTTGCTAATGCTATAATAGATAGTTTTTCTATCCCAAATATAAGAATTGGATAACTCATTTGTTTGTAGGGATTAAAAAAATAAGTTAAATAAGTTATTATTGATAAATCTATATACATTGAAAATTACCCTTTAAGAAAAATCCTATTAGAAATAATTTGATAAAAAAATTATAAATTTAAAAGGTAAAATAGATAGATGAGATCTCTCGTATTTAATTACGACAAATTTTTTTTTTTATATTTAGAATTAGAGGAGTACACTCTAGAACAACATATATTTATTGGTTTTTTTTTTTTGGCTTCACTAGGTATGATTCATGGGAGATACACAAATATTAAGGAATAATATCATCTAGAAAATAAAAGAAGAATTCTTCAAGGTTCTTCAAACACAACTAAGGTAATTTGCTGGCAGGCACGATAACTTCAGAAAGATACCAGCTACTTCGTCAATAATATAACAATCACCTTTTCTTGGAAAAACACAAATGTTTCCATTTATCTATTATTTTATTACTACCTCCGATCCTTAATATAAGATCCTGTTTGATTTTTATTTTGGTCCTAAATATAAGACCCCAATCCACTTTGTCTCTCATATTTGTGTATTTTTTTCAAGATAATCCTTCTAATAATTGTAGTTCTAGCCAATATAGCTGATTAGTAAGGATATTTTAGGAAAGACAACACTTATTTATTACAAATGACTAACTTAACTTCTTTCCTTAATCTCCTCAAATTAGTCAACTGGGTCTTATAATTAGGACCGGAAGTAGTATTAGTTTTTCGATTATACCCTTTATCCCTTTACTAATTTTCCTATGGATTAAGAGATGCAATTTCGTACATGAAGAAAATAGATGATGAAATAAATTAACGACATATTAGATTTTTTTTTTCTAAAAAAGTACAACATACTGGCCATATTTCTTAATATATATTTTTTTTCATAAAAGAACCATATTTCTTAATATATGTGCAAGAATATTTGATGACAGATAAAAAGAAATAGAGAAAAAGTGGGGGTGCATGCATAAACTTTGTTATGGCCAATTATAATGGGGGTGCATGCATGAACATTTTTCAGGTATGGGAATAAATAGTAAGAGTTAGGCATTAATTTATGATTGCCATAAAGTTCAAAGCACATGGTTTCAACTGGATAAATAAATAAACAAGCACACAGCAAGTTGTTGTGAGATTAAGGTAGGTTTGGATTTTGTGCACAAATTGCTAACTAACTGATGAATAGTTTTTCAGGAAATTGGTTACTTGTAGGTTCATGGCCCAAAAAAGGTTAACTTTTTCGATCTTGTTGGCGTGTATTGTTGTTTAATAATTGCAAGGGAAGGTCAAAAGTGAACATATGGAGGTTACAAAATAATTGCTTATATAGGTATGTGTTTATTTATTATTTTTGATCTGCTTCAAATTTTAAGCGTAGTTGACTGGAATTCAACTTGTCACAATATTTGCAACCTATTGGTGATGATTCTACCTTCCACAACCTTTGGTGTTTAACTTCTTAGTTGTTAGCAATTATCACTTCAATATTTCTCTGTTATTATCTCAGTCTTCCACTAGTTTTATTTATTTATTCGCACCTATTAGATGCAATCTAGTTTGAGATATTATCGGATATTTAATGTGAGTAGAAATTTGAATATTGATTCGTTATGTTGTAAGAGACTAACATCTTCTACTAAACTCAACTCCCATCGGTCTATTATATTTAGATTTGGAATAAAAACCTGGTCACTGCCTTTTTTGTGATTTAAAAGAAAAAGAATAAGAAGGTCGAGAAGGGTTTTTAAAAAAAAAAATCTAAAACAAAGGTATCATTTTATTAGAAGCAATCCTATTCGAGACACTGTTAAACACTAAATGTGAATACTTCTTCTAACAAAAATTTAAATCTTAGTTTGTTATGTTGTGAGGTTAATATCTTCTGTTAGACCCAACTCCTGTTGATAAAGTCAAGAAAGGTTAGTATTGTTGTAAAGTTGGATTCGTGGATTGCCATGTTTATGAGAACCCAAGAGGCCACAAATCTGTTTTGAAAAGGTTGGGTCTATTTTTCAGGCCCATAAAGTTTTTGGGTAAATGTGGGCCCAGAATCAATTATGCGCCAACATGTTCATGAAGCTGCAAGGAAGGCTATGTGAAGCTCCAATTAGCTTTTTTTCAAAAAAAAAAAAATCTCTCTCATTTTAAATTTACGAAGAAGTTAAGGGATTTATTTTAATCCTAAATATCTTAATCTATTTTATTTTTAAAATTTATATTTTTCCTAAATTATCCATGATAATTACATATGATGAGAAGATTTGCATCAGGAGAGTTCGAGTACAATAAGTAAATATGATATTTTAGAAAAAAAATAACACGTATTTAATAAATAATTAATTTAACTAATTTTATTAATTTCTGTAAATTAGTTATTTAACTCTTATAGTCTTTTGATCCTTGATATAATATTTATTTAACTAATTTGATTTGATTAAGAAAATTGGGTAAATTAGTTAATTATGAGAAATATGACATGTTTTTCCTAAAACACTATAATCATCTTTCTTAATATCCTTCCTCCCTCACTTACTTGATTATGGTTGAGAAAGTATCCCATTTAGATAATTTAGAAAAAACTGATAAATATAAAAAATTTTATTTAGGACCAAAATTAACTTAATAATTATATATAGGATGTGAGGTTATAACACACAAATCCTCATTTCTTAAACCTACTCCCTCGTTTCAGAATGGAAAGAATTAAAATTATGGAAAGATCAAAAACTAAGTTTTAAATGAAAAGTACAGAGACTAAGTTACATCAAGTCATGCTTGAGGGGTTGAAGCTACAAAGATTGATTAGATTAATTTTCTTTAAGCATTATCACAAAACAATTTGGGCTATGATGAGATTGGGTTTATTGGCTCCGCTCACTAGTCATTTGGGCTCGTCGAAAATGAGCTCACACTAATATTAGTCTCATTCTACACAATCTCATCTATTTGGGATATATGGCAACTCATTTTGGGCTACCATACTATTGGGCCTATGCATCTCGCACTAGGGGACAACTGTTTTTCTTTTGGTTAATATGAAGTTCGAGCATCAGCGTATGCAGAAACCCCCGTTAGAAGACTCACCCACCACAGCCAGGTACGTAATGCGGGTCGGCTCCAGATGTAGTCGGAGCAAAACTCCGGTGAACTAGGTGGGCAACCAAAAAAAGAAATATGAAGTTTGATCTCTTAAATTTGCTTTCAATTTAATTTTAGTATCTCAAATGTTAAACTATAGATTTTAATCCCTTAAATTTCTTTTCATTTAAAACATTAGTTCCTGTAACCTTATAAAACTTGAACCATTTTACCCCTAAAGGAACCAAAACCTATGTTTTGAAATTTGAGAGACTAAAATTAAAATAAAAACAAATTTGAGAGACTAAAAATTATATTAACTTTTTTTTTAGAAAAATATATTTTGTCGGTGAACTCAATGACTTTGTAGACTAAAATTAAATTACATTTCGTGAATCCAAAGTTCCAAACTATCTTTTTGGTCCGCGGGAAGTCAATATTGAAAACTTAAAAGCTAAAAAAGTATATATTCCGTGTTTTAACGTTTCAGTTTCGTCTTTTAATATTAAAAATTTTATTTTTTCAGTCATTTAACCTGACTGTTACAAAAAAAATACCATTTAAAGTTAACGATTTTAGGATTATATTCCTAAAAATATGTCTTTTAAAGTTATAAAAAATCAGATTTTGTATAAAGTTAAAGAATTAAATATGTATTTTAACTTGAAAAAGAAAATCTAAATCTCAATCTACGGTTCATTAGACCCCACTGCACGGATGAAACAGTATTTCATCAATTGGCCTGAAACTGAAGAAAACTGAAAAATCTGAGAACATAGATGTTTCATCAAAAGAACACACAAATTTGGTAACCAAAAAGGGAAAAGAAAACAAAGTATAATTTCTGCATAATTATATTTACTATTTCACATATACACATTAGAATGGCAGACTCATCCTTCAAATCTCAACTCTTCAATTCCTGCATCAAAACCAAAAGCCTCTCTATCCCTCTGATCAAATTATATCAAGCAACATGAGCAAAAAAGAAAAGGAAAGAAAATTTCATTAACACCACAAATCCCATTTCCCAAATAATTACAAAACTAGGCTATGTAACTCGCTTTCTGGGTTTGCCCAGAGAATTATTAACAGAGAACAGTTTCTTCAGAACCTTCACAAGCACCACCATGCCAGGCTTGTTGTTATTGCTACCCTTGTTTCTGCCATTCTTGGAAGGAACTATCAGAGAATCAGAGTCATAACTATTCCTTCTCTTTGATACTGTTCTGAACTCAGCCTGCTCTCTTGAAGAAGAAGATGATGATCCATTGGCTCTTGAAGAAGACAATTCCTCATTGAAATCTTCCCACAACAAATCCATCTTCTGCTTCTCTTCATCTTCTTGTTCTTCTTCGTTTCTCACCGGCCTGCCAATCTCTATACATGAGAAGCTCTTTCTCTGGCTTTCTCTGATGAGACCTCCATAAGGGTTAGGGGAGGTTGCAGGAGATAGATTCCAAAGAGGAGGAGAATCAATGGAGAAAGAATAAGAGTCATTAATGGTGGGGAAGCTGAAATCTTGATCTGTAGCAGCAGCCATATGAAGAAAGAGGGCAATAATTAATAATTAATTAATAACAAGCCTGCGAAATAAGGCAGAGAGAAACTGATAGACTGATCGATGAGGGAAAAATGATGAATGATGGGTTTGTGTTAGGTTTGGTGGGGGACCTATAGTGGTTGTGTTCGTGAAGAAAGGTTTAGTTCAACTGCTGCAGAAAAACCTTAACTTTCTTGCCTCTGCAGAAAAACAAAAGGAAAAATGGTTTTTGAATTTATAACTTCAAAATCCCCATCCTTCTTCTGAACTTAGATTTCCAAGGAAGATCTTGATTTGCCTTTCATGGGCAGGACCAAAATCTTTCATGAATACAAGAAAAAGGCAAAACCGACATACCCAATAATCAAGCTCTCATTTTTCCTTCATTATTCCTCATCACCAACCAATAGTACATCTCAAAAGGACAAGAAAAAGTCCTGCCCATACCCCAGGACAGTGATCAAGCTTCTAAAACCATCTCTCTATGTACTGTTATATATATGTATGAATAAGGAAAACTGTATCTGAGGACAGAGATTTTGCAGAATGTCAATTTAAGTTGAAGATCTTAAAACATATACAGCGGTAATAGTAAGCTAGATATGTAGGACAATGAAATGAGATGCTTATCATCGGCGGATTGAGAGGAAGAAGTGATGTGAAAGATAGTTAATTTTCCATTAGGATGGTTGACTCAGGGACTCATATGAAAGCGATATATAGTTGCACAGCTAAATAGAGCCTCCCCATTTAATTACTCTCTTTTGCCATTCCAAGCTGACACGTTCCTGCTTGATAGTGATCTTTTGGGACACGACTTACACCAAAAATATTAGAGATTTTGGGATTTTCTTTTTCTTGGTGGAGACAAGAAGCAATTAAGAGGGTTCATTCAAGTCAATGTAGAGTTTAGAACAAGTAATCCCATATGTATATTTACGTGTTTGGTTTGGTGCCAACTGGATTTTGCTAAGTAAGTATTAGTGTGTCTCACCCTAATAGAATGAAGACAAATTAGTGAGTGGGGTTTGGCTTATTTTTTACGTTTCAAAAGGAATGGTCAGAATTTGGGGTTGGATTGCTGATCTGGCTTGTGCAAGCTATTGAAGGGAGCAAAAGGCAAAGCTCACACTTTGCTGGATTTGGACAACTTTGTGTAGATCAATCTAGTTTTCACTTTCCACCTACCCAAAATATATATGGGACCTTTTTGTTTTTTGTTTTTTGTTTTTTGTTTTAATAGTAAGACAAGATGGTAAAACAAAAGTGAAATGAGAGTTCTAAGTAGAGGGGGGAGGGAGTGAAAATAACTCAATAAGCTAAAAGAATAGGGAAATGTGTGCTCAAAATGTTCAGCCAGACAATATTTTTGGTAGCAGCTTTGAGGTAGTCAGATTTAAGAACTCAAACTTGCTTGTGTGGTTTTTTATTAATTAATCAGTAATTAAGTAATTTGTTGTGCGTGAATACTTGGTGCTGGGGTTAAAAACGATGTCGTTTTAACGTTGAATCTGGGCTTCTAATGAAACGATGTGTTTTGAGGGCTTTTGTTTGGCAGCCGATCTAAGCCGTTGGGCTGTATGCGGTTACTATCAGGGGTGTCCATTTCCATGTCAAATATTGCACCGTTTTGCCCCGTTTGTTGCTGCAGCGGTTGTTTGTCGGTAACGTACCAGGCATTACCAGGCTGGCTGCTGCTGACGATTATTATTGTTGTTGTTATTATTATTATTATTATTATTATTAGGGAGAATGATAAATAAAAGCAGCGAAAATTACAAAATTTCAAATCATGATTTATTACAACACTTTAACAGGTTTTAACAATTAATTGATTTACAAATAACAACTCATTTTTATGAAAATATCTGATTTGATATTTTGCGATTTTTACACTATTTTTTGTCATTTTTCCTTAATATTGTTAGATCATATTCGAATGTTATCAATCTTAATTAAGTAGCTCTTTCACTGTGATTTTTTTGTTTTCATCCGTTAGATTCAAATTCTCAAGGAAACAAAGTCTTTAAGCCACCCATCTACCGTTAGTGACTAGATATTAATGTCAAGCACAGAGACATAAATGCTACTCCCTCTGTTCCTTATCATAAGAGACGTTTGATGCTCATAACATGTTCCTATATATAAGAGACACTTAAAAGTTGTCTCTATTTTTTTGTGTTGATTTCCTATTTTACCCATATTTATTTTATCTCCAATTCACACTCTCTCTCCCTCCCACTTCTTTTTCTTTTAATAATTTAATTGTTCTCTCTCATACTCTCTCCTTATTAATGAGGGCATTTTTGGGAAAAAATTATACTTTTTACATATTAATTGTTCTTAACTAATTTTAACTACTTTTTTTATCAACGTAATTTGGTTATTTGTCTCTTATAATAAGGAACGGAGGGAGTATTGCAAAGAGATTTGATTTGAGTTGTCCAAATATCTTACTACTTTTCAGTCCTAATTACAAGAGTTAGTTGACTAATTTAAGGAGATTAAAGAAAGAAATTAAGTTAGTTATTTGTCATAAATAAGTGTTATTTTTCTCAAAATATCTTTGCTAATCAAGTGTATTGGCTAAAACTATCATTGTTAGAACTTAGAAGGACTATCTTGGAAAAAATGCATAAATATTAGAGACAAAGTGGATTGGAGTCTTATATTTAGGATTAAAATAAAAGTCAAACAAAATCCTATATTAAGGATCAGAAGTAGTATATATGTAAACTACTTATTTCGAAGTTTTTAATGTTGATTATTTTATGATCAGTCAAAACGACACCGTGTTGTGGATGATGATGAGAGTTAATGTTGAGTGTTTGGTAGTAAGGAATCCCAACGAGTAAGAAAATGGGGTTGAGAGGAAATTCCATACAAATTGAATCATGCTTAGTGAAAGAAAGCAAGATTGCTATTTTTTTTTTATGTGTGATTTAAAAGCACGCTTGATTTAATCTAATATTTCATCTAAACATAGTAGGCAATATTACCCCTAATGAAGTTGATAAGACTTGTATTCCTTAAATTTAAGCGTGCAAATGAGATCATTGAGGGAATGTGAAGCTTTGGTACATTTCTATCTTCACCCAATACATGTTTTGTTATTAAAATTGTAAAATATTCTCAATATATTAAAAATGGGTTTGATAGTTTTGTAGATAACTTTAATGATGAATTCACAATTAAAAAAAAGAAATAAATAACAAGCATAGTATTGAGTTACATCTAAGTCAGAATCATAAGGATATAATTATACTTGTACTGAGTTAAAATATAAGATTAAGTTATAATTGAGTTAAAAATATAAAAGGCAAAGCATTAATTTTCTTTGCCATTAATTATGTATAAATGTCTTTAAAATGATAGTCCTTTGCACATAGTTAAAAATATATGTTGCATGAATAATTGTACTCCTTAAAAATAAGTAGCACCTACTCAAATTTAATCCCCTTTTTAATGCTTTTAGTTTAAAAAAACTTTTCAAAAAAGTATTTTTCACTAATTTTCTCAAATTATATAAGAATCAAATCAAACAATCTATAGTCCTTTATGATTAAAGACAGATGTGGGAATACGGGTTGGCCTTGCAGGGTTGGCAGGCTTAAAAGAACCGACCCTACAAGGCCAAAATTTCAAAAATACCCTTATTTGTTAGGTTCGGCCCTTAAGCTAACGGGTTCAAGGCTAGCCCGCGAGCTTTCGGCTTGTTTAAGGGAAAAAAAACTATTTTTCATATTCTTCACATTTTTATATAAAAAAAAAGAAAATAAACCAATGAAATTATTAATAAAAGACATAAATATGAATAAAATTAAATCACAAATACAAAATATCATCATATATAAATATCCATCAACATCTAAGAATATCTAAAACATTCATTAACAAGATAACAACATTCAAAAGTTTCATCTGTAATGTAAATGTGTAATAAACAAACACTATCATTAATCTTTTAAAAATTTATCATCACTATAATCAATTACTCTTCTTCATAAGTATCCTTTTCTTTCGTAACAAAAATATTAAGCTTTTCTTCTTTATAGAAATTTCACTTTTAAATTTTGCAATCCAACTATTATTTTATTTTAATTTGAGAAACATTGTTGTTAAAACTCATAAATTTCTCATTCAACTTATAGAATCACAAGTTATATAAATATAAAAATAATCTCTTATCAAATATATATAGTTTAAAAATATTAACATATATAATATAAATCAAATCATTATTAAAGTCCAAATTAACCCATTTTTTAAAAATTTAATTAAACAAATTAACTAAAACCAAATAAGTCAAATAATTCTGTAAAATTTAATTTTAAAATAATAATAACAACTAAATATTTGAAATATTATTAATAATATAAAAAATTAATAATATTAGAATTATACAAAAAAATTTTGAAACAAACAAAAAATACTCCCTCCGTTCCTTATTATAAGAGACATTTGATGCTTATGGCATGTTCCTATATATAGAGACACTTACAAGTTGTCTCTACTTTTTTGTGTTGATTTACTATTTTACCCATATTTATTATCTCCAACTCACACTCTCTCTCTCCTCCCACTTCTCTTTCTTTTAATAATTTAATTGTTCTCTCTCATGCTCTCTCCTTATTAATGAAGGCATTTTTGAAAAAAATTATACTTTTTACACATTAATTGTTCTTAACTAATTTTAACTGTTTTTTTGATCAACGTACTTCGATTATTTGTCTCTTATAATAAGGAACGGAGGGAGTATAAAATAGTCTAAATGAATCAGTCCTTGTAAACCCTCAACCCGACAAGACTAAATCTTATAAGGCCTGTTTTTTATTTTAAAAGAAAATTTTTAAACCTCACTTTTATAATTTTCGAGCCTAAACAGGTTTAATCTGTTTTTTCGACTCTACATAAAAGTAATAAAAAAATAAAGCAGCGTTACAAACAGACTCTTACCGGGAGCTTTGACAGAAGGCTACTCTGGGCCATACTAGCGCTCTAGCAGTAGCAGGCCAGGGCTAGCAGATACTTTGTCTCAGACTCGCCCTGCCTCGATCCATATTGCTTGAGGAGCCTGCAGGTACATTAACCGTTAAAGGATTCATTGTCAAACTGCAACACTGCCTCGTATGCCTATTTTCACCATGAAAACACTAGCTCTAGCTTTGTCCCCTGCCCCTTATACTCAGTCTTGTTTCCCTTGCAATTTTTCCTTTTCTCTGCCATCAACAGCTCAGAAATCTGCAGCACAAGCCACCATTAAGAAAACTGAAGCTCGGAAGGTCCATACCGGAGTTGTAGCTGATGAGTCGTCTTCTTTCACTTGGTCTTTTCGTCAAACACGTGGTGAGCAATCACTGCCAGGAAGTGAATGTCACGATAAGAGAGCTAGCAAGAAAAGGGTCTTCTTTTTAGATGTTAATCCTCTATGCTATGAAGGAAACACACCCAGCTTGTACTCCTTTGGTCGATGGGTCTCTCTTTTTCTCTCTCAAGTCAGTCGCAGCGACCCTGTTATCGCTGTAATCTACCTCTGCCTCTCTTGGTTTCTATCCATCTGTCATCTTATCTTTATTTATTTTCTGGGCTTCTATTTATTTATTATTAGAATGAAACAGGTTTTTGATGGAGAAAAGGGTAGTGAGCATCGTAGACAGCTACTGCCGTCATACAAAGCCCATAGGAAAAAATTCTTGCGGCACTCATCATCTGCGCAAAGATTTTCTAGAGGTCATGTTGGGAGGTCCCATCAAGTGATCACTGATGTTCTCAGAAAATGCAATGTGCCAGTGAGTGGTTCTTTTACATCACTGTCATTCTATTTCTTTTGTACAGTCTATTTCTTTTTTGTACATTTTAGACATGCTTCTACATGATTTTTAGAGGTTGTTTGATGAAACTAAATTATAGTTTTAAAAGTGTTTTACGGTATATGAAATAAATATGTGGAGACAAAGTAAATATGTGGAGGAGTTTGCTTGTTTTGCAGAAAAGTGCTTTTTCAAGAGCACTTTTCTATCTTGTCTAATAATATGCCATGGTACTCATTCATTGTCTTATCTGAAGCTTACCCTTAGGTTAGATATTCTTAGCATAGTTCTCATTCAAAGGTTAGACGTAAAATATTTTATTGCTTAAGCACGTTTATTGCAGAACTCTGCTTATTATTCATCATTCCTGTTGGCACGCTCTACATTTTTTATGATATTGGAGGGGACTTTATTCATCATGCGTAGATTTTTGTTCTGCATGTCTGTTGGAACATAATCAGTCTCGAACTAGAAATTCAGTAAATTATGGATGTTTTATTAACTCATAATAGAATTCCTTTTTCTGACTGTTTGGATAATTTTTTTGATTGTGCTTCTGAGTATTTATAATGGTAAAGTTTCTGACGGATAATGGTTTGATGTAGATAAAGGGATCAATGTAGAATTCCATTATCTCCCTTTAGTCCACCTCTCATCTGGAGATAGGGTTGGGTTTGTTTGGCAAGAAAACTTGTTGGAGAAATGATAACAATGCTTAATCATTGGTCTTACTTGAAACACTTGTCAATGCATTTATCGCCAGCCATCAATATACAGTTTCTTCCCTGATTTCGGTTGTCTTAATTCATTAGTTTGTTCCATATGAGGATGATAAGATTTTAGATGTGGATTAGTATTCATTCAGTATGTGAATTAGCTGATACTATTTACTTCTCTAAGATTTTCAAAAGAAGAACATGAAAATTATTGTTGTAAAATATTGATTTGATATCCTTATTAGCTTTACTACATTAGTTACATTAGTGAGTTGATTAAATTGTTCAGGTCATAAAAGTTGATGGCCATGAAGCTGATGATGTTGTTGCCACACTTGTTGGACAAGTTCTCAACAGAGGTTTTCGTGTTGTGATTGCCTCTCCCGATAAGGATTTTAAACAGCTCATATCTGAAGATGTGCAAATTGTTATGCCCTTGCCAGAGTTAGAAAGGTGGTCCTTCTACACCTTGAGGCACTACAGAGCTCAATATAATTGTGACCCTCAATCTGATCTGAGCCTTAGTGAGTATTACTAATTTATCTTGTATGATAATGATGCTACTCACATCTTATTTGAGACATATCAATCAACAATGTAAAACGCTATAAATTCTGTATTTTAAAATTATTTGAACTCTTTATTCTCAGCAACATTATAATGGCCCTGTTTGGCAGAGCGTTAAAAATCACTTAGGAGCATGTTTCACATAACAATACTCATCTCACATATTTTTCTCGTATTCCATAAATCATGATTGAAAAGTTACTTATAAGCTATTCCAAATGGGCCCAATTTAATTGAATTAGATGCCTTTGGGCTTTTAATTAGTGAGAATTTCTACAAGTGCACTAATCTGATTCAACCCTCATGGCTTGAGGGACAAGTGTATAGTTGCAGACATATAACTGAAAATGAGGGAGATTTACATCCAACGTTTTGTTATTAAATACCTGCTAATTTCTTCTACCTTTGTGAACACTATATATTTCTGTTAATTTTTTCAGCTACTGCCTTGATTATGTAGGATGCATTGTAGGTGATGAAGTTGATGGCGTTCCGGGTATCCAACATGTGGTCCCTGATTTTGGTCGGAAGACTGCTTTAAAACTTATTAAAAAGCATGGTACATTGGAGACTTTGTTAAATGCAGCTGCAGTGCGGACTGTGGGAAGGCCATATGCCCAGGAAGCCCTTACAAAATATGCTGATTACCTTCGAAGAAACTATGAAGTTCTGGCCTTGAAAAGGTAACGGTGTTTCTTCTTTCTGCAATTCCCTCCTCATCTTTGCTTAATGTGCTTCACTTTCTTTTTAGCTTCTCATTGAAAATGCCTCTTTGCAAATTTGTCCGTGTTGCCTTTACCCAAGATTTCTTTTTGTGTTTGGCCATGCCTTTACTCAAATCTTGAAGTATTATTTCTTCATCACAATTTTTGACAGGGATGTAGATATCCAACTTCATGAGGATTGGTTAGTTGAGAGAGACGCGCATAATGATACAACTGCCCTCTCTAACTTCTTCAAATATTTGGAACAGATGAGGGAACTCAACAATAATTATAGACCTCACACTTCTAATGGATTGAACCCTGACAGGTAAATGCTCTCTCTAACTCAAAAATTTTGGCTACTGACAAGAACTAGGACCCTTGATGATCCAAATGCCATTCTTCTAAAGCATAGACTATGACAGTGGGGTGCTTACTTTTTGTTTCAAGCAAGCAAAATATTTATTAAACAGTATGTTGCGGGGAAGCAAGTTCTTATTTTCTAGCTATTGCTTGAGGGAGAAAGAAGGAACGATCTAGTGGGAGGAGGTGGGGATGAAAAAACCTGTACATGACCTTCTGTTGGTGAAAATGGTTTGCTGGTACTATATTGACTGTGATAATGGGTGAAGAGGGAATGATTCTTCTCTATGCACTAGAAAGTTGAGAAGTTAGATGGAAAAACAAAATGAGATGGCAAACAGCTAAAATTGGCGTTAGGTGTTACGATATTTGTTCTTCTTCCAAGACAATGTGGATTAGATAAGGTGTGAGAAAAAGGCTTTTTTGTGGTTCGTGCAATGGAAAGTGACAAGGCTTCCATGGAGGGTTTACTCTAGCGGTCTTGAAGAAAATAGATGTGTACAAAAAAAAAACATCTTTATGGCGCTTTCTGCAAAAAATTGTGTTTAGATATTTCCCTCTTGTTTGCCAAGTGACAACCTGAGGGTCATTCATACAAATTTAAACCATCCGAAATTAAGAAAGAAAGAATGATAGATTTGGTTGTTTTTTCTCTGCTTTCCAAATACCCTCCTTTTTAATTTTTAGTTTACTTTCTTACGCTTAATTGCTTTATATGCATGATTCTTTGCTATAAAGTAAGTCCGTATTTATTCTGGTATAGGAAATGAAGACATGTAAAAGTTGACTACTCGAGGAACATACTAATCAAAATTATGCAAGTATTTCTGCTTGCTTCGCATCTTGCCGATTCATCTTTTGTGACTACACAAAGGAAGCTTGCTTTTGCTGGCTGATCCGCATTTATTCAATACTACTATGCAGGTATAGACTCGCTTGCCACTATCATAACTCTCAGCTAAGTACTCTGCATTCTGCAAATGAATTAGCATGCTTAATAATAAAATCAGGCATTTTGGGGAATACCAACTAATGATGATGAAGACAAAGGCTGTCTCTAGCTGTGGGTTGTTTGTAGTTGAAGTTGTGATTAGTAGGCTGTATAAATGTAAGATTCTATGGTCGGATTATTACGTGAACTGGATACTGATGGAGCCTAACACAGCGTAGCCACAAGTAGTTGTTATTACACTTATTGGCATGTCCTCTCTATCAACAAGCTAAGTCTTAGCTAATGTCCTTGTAGACTAGTGGCATAATGCTCCCTTAAAAATGGGAGGTTGTGGGTTACGCTTATACTCTCAGCCATTAGTACCTGTGATTAGTAGGCTGTATAAATGTAAGATCTATGGTCGGATTATTACGTGAACTGGATACTGATGGAGCCTAACACAGCGTAGCCACAAGTAGTTGTTATTACCTTATTGGCATGTCCTCTCTATCAACAAGCTAAGTCTTAGCTAATGTCCTTGTAGACTAGTGGCATAAATGCTCCCTTAAAAATGGGAGTTGTGGGTTACGCTTATAATCTCAGGCCATTAGTACCTGCCCCTCTAATTCCCAAAAAAAAAAAAAAAGTTGTCTCAAGGGCAGGTTCGTCATGCTCTGCTTATGTGAGTATAATAGTTAAACTTTTATGCAGTTGTTAGTGGGTCTTTTCTATCAAGCTCTACAATAAAAGCAGAGGAAAGAAAACTTTCTGGATTCCATTAAAATACTCTGCCATTCATTGTCTGCTTTAGACATGTCACAATGTCTACTGTTAATCACTTTGTTACTGGGAATGATTTGTTGTGCAGTTGTAAGAAGATAAGCATTAAAGCACATAGTACGTACTTGGTGGCACTTCCCAATGGGGCCAAACACCATTCTCTAATTGAAGGCATTGCAAGCTATGTCTGAGTAAGGCTTCAGCGTCTTTGAGATCAAGATTCAGTGACATGATGATTTATGTTCCTTGTACCTTTTTGTAACATGTAAGAGGAAGTTGTTGTAACATAGATTAAATTAAAAAGAATAAAGGGGGGGGGGGACAGAGTAGGTATAATATTTGAGAACAGGGTCAGTGAATTTCCATGGATTTTATTTGTCATTTTGTTTATCCCATGGCGTCTTTGCTTCGAGTATGAATTACAGAAGACAATTTAAGATGCTCGTCCAGTGCTTAACATAAAAGTTGGTAAAGGGATTTGTTTTAATGTTAAATGCCAGACTCAACCTCTTTTATCTTCTAAATTTATAATTTATTATCCAAGTTATCTTTATTTGTCATACTTATTAAGAGGGTTTTTTATCAGGGCAGTTTTCAGTGCAAATGATTAGAAAAATATTTTAAGAGACCAACATGTATTTCTTATAAATAATTAACTTAACTTTTTAATCTCAGCAAATTAGTGATCTAGTTCTTATATTTATGATTAGATGAGTATGTTGATTTGTACCAAAGTTATCAATTATGTTTGAGAAAATGTGTATTTATGTAGACGAAAAAAAAAAAAGGTGAACTTGTTCTTTTGTCTTGTTTTAATCAGTCAATATATATATATAAAACATAAGGCATAAACAGTGTAATATATTCTTATACAGTGTAGATAATACTCCTCTCGTGTCCATGGCTATTGCTATTTTACCGGTTTGTCTCTTCCCAATAATTAATTCTCACTGACCACACCTTGTAGGGATAATCAATGGCAATAAGTTTTGTTTGAAGAATTTCATATACAGAACATCTTAATATAATATCGAAAGCGAGAGATTCAATTAACTGAGATTTGAAAGCTGAAATTTCTCCTGGACTATTAATATGTTTAGCCAAATCATTTATAACACAACCCAGACAACAAGCCTTACTTATTAGTATCTAAGCAATTCTTCTAGTTGTTTTTACTGAACTTCTCTCTTGTATCATCAAAAACACTACAAAATAGGTTATATATTTAGGATCCAAAAACACTACAAAATAGGTTATATATTTAGGATCGGAAAGAGTAACATCAATAACACGTTAATTTTATCTATAAGTCATAAAACATTGTGTGATCTGACAATATTACCATTTGGCATAGGTTGAATCTTCATATTCCAGTTTTATTGGACCAACTGGACATGTACAGTACATGACAGCTAATTGCCAAAGCATAAGCGTCCATTATTACTGTTATTATGAATGTCCTTTCAGTTCATCTCTGATGCAAACCTTCATAAAACTAGTGGTTCCTGTTAGTTTCCATGATCACCTTTTCCTAATCCACATCCTTTTAGTTTCCATGAATCAATATTTTGATTAGTTAATTTATTCATATTTATTTCCACCAAATAGTATTATCTGATTTGATGCTTCACTTTGTAATCTGACAAACAAAAAATCAAGCACTTACTCTTATCTGTAGGTGTCCCTAATTGTCTCTGTCTCATTTCTCACCTTATGTTCCATATCACCCACCCCATACCTCACCAATTGATGACCTGTCAATTTATGGATTTTATCTTTGAATTGTTCTGAGCTGTCTATGGTATTGCATTATCCCGTCTTGTGCATACAAGGGCCAAGTGGGATATTTGATATTGATGTTCATATATTTTGCAGCTTATATTAATCACTTGATTTTTTTTTTAATTATTGACTTTACCTTGTAAAATTCGCAGTTGAACTTCCGCTGGCTGTCCTGAAAAAACCTTGAAAACAACTGTCTCCGGTCGTAATTATAAGACCTAGTTGACTAATTTGAGGATATTAAAAAAAGAAGTTAAGTTAGTTATTTGTAATAAATATGTGTTGTCTTTTCTAAAATATCCTTGCTAATCAAATGTATTGGTTAAAACTACCATTGTTAGAAGGACTATTTTAGAAAAAAATGTATAAATACGGGAGACAAAATGGATTGAGGTTTTATATTTAGGATCAAAATAAAAGTCAAACAATGTCTTATATTAAGGACCGGAGGTAGTACTACTTCTAGTCTTTAATATAAGAGTTAATTGACTAATTTGAATGAATTAAGAAAATTTGTTAAGTTAATTATTTGTAATAAATAGATGTTATCTTCCTTGTAATACTCTTACTAATCATGTGTATTAGCTAAAAAATAAAATATTTAACATGTACAACTACTATAAGGATTATTTTAAAAAAAATGACAAATATTAAAAACAAAGTAGATTGAAATATTATATTTAAGACTAAATTAAAAGTCAAAATAGTTCTTATACTCCTTCGGTCCTAATTATAAGACCCAATTGACTTATTTGAGGAGATTAAGGAAGTAAGTTAAATTGGTTATTTATAATAAATAAGTGTTGTTATTCCTAAAATATCCTTGCTAATTAAGTGTATTGGCTAAAACTATCATTATTAGAAGGATTATCTTAGAAAAAAATGCATAAATATAAGAGAGAAAATGGATTGGGTCTTATAATTAGGACCAAATAAAAAGTCAAATTGGATCTTATAATAAGGACCGGAGGAGTATTAACTATTAGAGTTATCAAATGCTGGGATTAGTTTTCCATATTGATACCTGAGTCAAGCAAACAATATGCAACTCGGGTTTTGAATTGTTGGCATCAGTTATTGTTGTGATCAAACCATGTTGTTGGAATAGCAAAGGGCTGTAGTTTTATTTGTGGAAGGCATCACGAAGATGATAAATTATGTGAGGAGAAGGAAACCTGTGCTGAAGTTGCGCGGTGATTCTTGAGTTGTTGTAGCTTGTGGACACGTATACTCTTACTGATATAACGTAAAATCATTGCATATTTTATACTCAAAGAGTATTTGGATAGAAACAAAATCATAGTTTTAAAAGTGTTTTTACGATATACGAAATATACGAAGTAAATATGTAGAGGAGTTTATCTTAATTTATAAAAAAAATTTTTGAAAAGTGCTTTTAGGTTATCCAAACATTTTTTTAGACTAATGATTTCCTAATTGTGCTGGACGCTGGTACTTGTTCCCATGGCTTTGAGCAGAAAGGAATCTCAGGGATTCCTATCCCTATTAATATTTGGCTCCAACTTGTCAGGGACATATCATCTATATGTGTACACAAGCCGTGCCACAGCGTGCGCGCGTGCACGATTGATAATATTTAAAAAACAAATAGCAGTATATTTTTGTAGTTATTTTTAGTTTGGGATTTTGAAATTTTAGTGGTATATTTTTGAGATTTTTTCTTAAAAAAATTAGTTAAGATTGATTATTTGTCACAAATATATGTATTAATTTTTTTAAACTATTCTCTTTCCGATGAGGCATGTTGGATGGCTGAAGTTATCCTTTAATAAGAATTTTTTATAATTAATGGGGATATCTATTGAAGAAAGATATGAAATAGGATGAATTAATATTTTATATCTAGAATCAAATTCAATCTCTGATTAGCACTTATATTAATAAGCAGAGCTAATATTTAAATTTCATTTAATATTAATTGGTCTTTTATACTCATCCGGTCCTTAATATAGGACCTAATTATTGAGTTGATTTGGATCCTAAATATAAGATCTATTTCTGATATTTATCAAATTTTTCTAAATTACCCATATGGATACTCCTCAACCATAATCAAGTAGAAGAGGGAGGGAAAATGATTATGATGTTTTAAGAAAAACATGTCATATTTCTTATAATTAGCTAACTTACTTAACTTTATTAATCTAATCAAATTAGTTAAATAGGTCTTATAATAAGAATCAGAGGAGTATTTACAGATCAAGTTAGTACTAGTGTTCAAATCAAATTTCATATTTAAAAGTCTAATTAGATTATTTATGAGTTAAATTTGTGAGTACTAAATCTCTTAAAAGTATATTTTTGGTCTTTTCATTTTATATAATATTTTAATTTAGTTTCTTAATTTAAAAAATATATTTTTAGTTCTTTAATTTAAAATTGTTAGTATTAAATGATTTTTTAATAAAAATCATGACTATATTAAAAATTAAATTTAATATGTTAGCATTTAAAAATCTCAATATCATTATTTTTTGTTAATGATTTTAAGGCTAAATAACTAAAAATATAATTTTAAAGAGATCAAATTGAAACCTTGTATAAAGTTAAAGGAACACAAGCACACTTTAATCCTACTAATATTAAATAAAATTCACAAATTTATTAATATATGTATAGATATAATACAATAATTCTAATAAATTGCATTGTTCTTGAGAAATAAGTATTTCTCCCATCAGTCTTAATATAAATGTTAATTAATTTGGGTATACTAAGAAGTTAGATAAATTAATAGATTATACTATCTTCGGTTCTACATATAAGAACTAGTTAACTAAATTTTAACTGTTAAGAAAATTAGTCAATTAGTTTTTTTTTAAATATCCATATTATTTGTGTTGGAAACTAAATACTTCTTAATAATATGTGTAAGAAGAGTTTGAAAAAGAATTCAAAATTTAGGAAATAAAATTAAATGGGGTCTTATATTAGGAGGGAAAAAACCCTCTATTTATTAATTCTTGTTATGAAATTAGCCAACAAAGAAAGTATATTGGAGAAGAGATGTAGATAAGAAAATGAGATAATGATATTGTATTCCTTTACTTACTTCACTTCCATCACAATATAATGGCATGCCCTATTTATAGGCATAGTCTTACATATAAGTTACACTTGTACTTAAATGATAGATAATGAATAATAAACCACATGAATGTGAAGTGGGGATGAGTTATAAGATTAAAGACATAATGAAGAAGTAATGGAGTAGTGGAAGATTAATGCTTAGTGGAAGTAGTGGGAGTTGATAAAGTTGAAGAGGAAGAGAAGATAGACATCTATACTTGATCATATTCATTACACTCCCCCTTGGATATCCATTGCATAAAAATGTGGCTCATTAAAAAACTTCAACTAGAAAAATTTATGTGGGACAAAAGCCTAGCAGAAGAAAAAGACTACACATTCATTGATACACAATTTGATGCCGCCTCATTAAAAATCTTGTTAGGAAAACCCAGCGGGAAAAACCATAAACAAGAAAAAAGAGTACAGCGTGTATTAACTCTCCCTCTTGATAGCATCAATTAATATCCTTGAGTCTGTGACATCTGATATCATGAACAAGCTTTTGAAACATTGTACTAGGAAGTGACTTGGTAAACAAATCTCTTAGATTTTTATTTGAACGGATTTGCTGGATATATCTATTTCACCATCTTTTGAGTATTATGAGATACTCTATCTA